GCCGCTCGACAAAGAAAGTTACCGCGCGATGCGGAGCGGAGCGCGGTAATCTTTGGAGAGCGGCAATAACACTTTGTGCTCGAAATACACACAAGATTTTTTCTACTAACGCAGCTTTTGGAAATAACTGCCCTGAAAAGCGATTGAAATAGTTGAAAAAGTTCTCATCCATATTATCCCATATGTCCAAAGGAAACAAAAATAGAAAAATTGAAATAACTGAGAAGCCCTCGGACAAGCCAGAAAATATAGACCAATGAGTTCATGACTTCAAAGTCTTTGTTTTTTTACCAAAATAAGCCAGTAAAACGTTTTCTGAATACATATTCACCATTTCGGAGTGGCACCAATTTATGAATGTATCATATTGTAATTCATATTTCTTCCTTGATTTGATGATTCACTGTCACTATTTTCCATCATGAAAGAATTGAGGGTTCAGGTTTAGGATAAGTATAGGTTACAGAGATGTGCGAGCGTTTTTTCAATATCTCCGCTCACGAGCGCAAATGCTGTCAAAGAATGACATTTCTGGGAAAACGTCAACTTTGTGCTGGAATTTGAAAGCGTCAAAGGCTACTTTGTTAAGCGTTTGTAGAAAAAATACATTAATTGGATGTCCATGCACAATGTTTCTTCAATGCCTCAGACATAACCAAATAGCCTCGAAAATAGCTCTACCTAGAAACACGTGCTATTATAAACAAGCGGAAATAGGATTGGTCATGGGTTGACGGTACTTGAAAGATACTATATTATCTGTTATATACCTATTGACTATTGTGGGTGATGATGAAGTGAAGCCTTGTTTGACCCTCGGTTTGACCATTGGAATTTTACTGTATCATCAACAGAGAATCGCATTGACAATGAAACCAACTCAAATTCTACAGTTTTCTTTTGTACTATTCATTCACCAAGACTCCGGGACAATACCTACTAAGCGAAAAATGAATATATTTCACAACAAAACGCTATATACAGCGATCATAGGCGTAGGACTTGGGGGATACTCGAGTTATTGAAAAATTTAAGTTCCTATTTCAAATCTATATATTTCCAAAAATAAAAGTATTTCGACAGTTCTAATAGGTAGGTAGTCATTGAAATATTTTTTGACAATATTTGATTACAACATCCCATGCACTTTTCAATCACTATGGCACCAATAAATTAAAATTATCTCGTACATTTTCAATGATCAATAAGGGATATATAAGAAGAAGGAATTGATTCATTTTTCACATCATTGCGAACAGAATCGAATTGTCCATAAAATGAAAAGATTTTCAAGATACTATATGTATACAACCCAATCAGAAAAATCCTCGGAAAAATCAAAGAAAAAACCGAGGAAAATTTGATAAATGACGATATAAGATATTGGAAGGTTAAGAGATTTTAACTGTGAAAAATATAACGAAAAATATAGATAAAATGTAATGTTTGTTTGTTAACAAATATTGGGATTTCAAATACGCCTTCACATGAACTGTGGGTAAACAGAGAATACCTGTCACAATATAATTTTGGAACAGAAAATTCCAAAATATTCTTTCTCAATTCTGAATACTCGCCGAAATACTCACCGAAATATTTCAAAATATCTATAGGTCATGTATCTATAACCATAAATGTATGAGCACCGGAATACCCCTATATATAATGTAAATATATTCAGATAGTCAGTCAATCAGAATATGATTGAAATAATTTAGAACAATGAAACGAAATATGATGAATATATATTTTTTATATTATTGAGTGGCAGGTTCATAGAATCGATCACTTGATTGAAATCAATGATTATATTAGCGAAGTATATCAACACCATCAGCCAATATTTTGCTGACTGATCATAAATCAGCATGTATGTGAAGAACAAAAAGATCGTACCGGGTTCCACATAATCAATTGACTCGTCAATAGATTTATGTTAAAAATTTGTAATTTGAATACCGAATGACACCATCAAGAATACATAGGATGTATGGAGGAAACACCTCGAGAAACGCCTAAAAAACCGGAATACTACTGGTTTGACAAATGAATCGTTTAAAATCAAACAAGATCAAACTGAGTTTTTGCCGACTGTATAGCGGTATAAATTATCGAATTGCGCGTATACCATATCGTAGATCAATATAATATTCAACGACTTTTGGTCCAACATGATTGATTCTATATGGCCATTGAAAATGATTCATAATTTCATACACAAACCAATAAAATAAATTGACGCCTATAAAAATTTAAATTATATATTATGTGCTTCTTGAATGATGTGGGTCACTGTTCAATCATCATTTCATGCGGATTCAAAGGTCTCCAGACCGATAAAGCACAGTTTATCTTCATTTATATGAACATAAACGCAAACGGTGCTGCTGATTGGTGGATGTCTTCAATTCTATTATGTTATGAGTAATACTTCATTTTTGTTGGCTTCAGCAATTATTCCAAAAATAATACAGACCTATTGATTTCTACTTATAGATATTATATGATCTCCAAAGAGGGGTACCATTGAGGAGCAATAAAAAATGATTGACTCAGGATAGTTATTTGTTTTACTAGGCTGATTTACGAGCAGATTTACTAGCCTCGGCTACCCCTTGGCCTCGGTCATGACTATGAAACGCCAGTCACGGCATTGAATCTTGTGCTTTTCTGCCTAGTAAAACAAATAACTTTTAAATACATGCCTTAGAACCTCGCTTAGAACTAACGCTTCTATAGAAGGCGACAGCATGACTGGATCATCATGCAGGAACTCATAAACTTCGAAAGTTCGAAAATAATTCCAATACTTACCTCCTCTCCCTATCCTACATAGGTACGCACGTTCCACGAACGTTATAGGAATTTCCTTTCGTGCGCTCCAAGAGATAGAAAAAATATCCGACGTCTTGGAAATGGTTGATGTAGATACCCGAAGCGTTGTGTTGTCACTGTTGTCCCAGTTGTCAGCAGAGAGAGAGCGGCTGATGAGGCTGGGTGGGCCGAAACAGTACTGTCTCGCTCCTGCTGACAATTGGGGCAACTCCGAAGGTCACTCTGTTCATTTCTAGTTATGAGATCTAGTTCAGTGCTTGATACCTAGCAAAATGGAAAGAAATATCATAAGGCGTCCATCCTGTATCTTAACGACCAGGCGGTTGCGGACCTATCTGAAAATTATCCGGCAATTATTCAATAAATACCCTGTATAACAAAACATCCAATATTAATCATTAATTAGAAATTCAAATTTGACAGGCAATTTGACGTCGAAATCAATAAATCATGGGGGAACTAGATGATTTTTTTTCAAATTCCTCAAACTGTTGCGCGCCGCAGTATGGTGGTTTTACTGGTATTGCAGTTCTCGTCGCAATCTTCAGTGTCATTGACACTGAAATAATTCGCACCTCAGCCGAAACCCAGAACAGCAACACTTTCGAGGATAATTTCAATTCTGAAGGCAATATTTTTGTATCTAGTGCACGAAATGCTTCTTTGTTTGGTGATCGAAAACTGATTTTTTTATAGAGGAGCAGCCGAGTTAAAAAAATAGTCGAAACTAAGAAAGTATTTCGCGCACGAGATACAATACACACCACATTTTTTCTACAAACGTCAAAAATATAGTTCTTCAGAATACAAAAAATTAACAGTTTCAGTCAGAATTCTACACCACCCTGTATTTGTTTCAATTAAATACGAGTAAATAGTAAATCAAAAGTTAAGATACGGACATGAAAGCCGTTTTGACCAATAATGAATAGTTTCGACACACAAAAATTCCCAAAATTGAAAAATCTCGATTTTCCACACCCTATATCTCGGAAATCATTCCCGCTAGACCCCAAGTGTGCTAGGTCGGTGAATTCAGCTCTTCAAGGAAAATATGAAAATGCTTCATTGCATTTTCATATTCGTCTCAAGTTTAAGCTCCATACCAAATTCAAGAAAAATATACTGGGTGGTTCAATACTTATAGACGAATGAATAATTATTCGAAATCGATAAATCGCCCTGTATCTCCGTTATGAAAACTCTTAGACCTATCAAATATGGTATTTTCAGAACCACCTTGGTGACCCCTATCTACCATTGAAATATTTCCCTTTACCTGTGAAACACCCTGTATATCTATCTGAACTCTGAAGAAAAGAAATTGTAAACGAAGTTTTTCAACGCAAGATTGAAATTGGACTGAAGATGGATTTCAATTCCACTCTGTATGATTTTTTTATATTTGAAGAGTTTTCAATGTTTTAGTCATCAAATTAGGTAAAGCCTCGGTAATAAATGCTAAACATTCGAAATTTTAATCATAGAATTTCAATAAAAACAGGTCACACGTATAGGTAGTTTTCGGAAATCTAATGATGATATTTCATAACCTCAAAGTTTCACATGGGGATTCATGTGAGATAATGCAGGTAACTACGCTGGCAACGCATATCAAAAAGTTGGTATAGTTGGTATAAAGTATAATATGTGGCAAATAGGTTTATGCTCTATTAGTTCCTAGATCACATATTGGAATATTTGAATGGATCTCAAAATGGTATAAATTTTGAAATTCTTGCAAACAGTTTGGTCATGACTGTAAATTGTAGGTAGCTGGTATAATACTTGCAATTACTACAGGTACATTATATTGCATTGAAAAAATTACTAGAATGAAAAATATAATATACCACTTCCAATTGGTAGGTATATACCCGAGAACCTACCTTCCAGTGCTGGTGTGTTGGTGGTTGGGTGTTGGGACCTATAGTATACCTATTATAACAATAATATGCCTACTTATCTTATCTTGTTTTAGATCAAATGTAAATACATTCTCGAGAAGATTTCGATGTCATCGTCGACATTCTGGTAACTGAAGAATATAGAGTTTCATTCATAATAAAATAGTATAAAAACGCATTGAGGAAAAAAACCGTTGCATTCAGCAAAAAGTCGAGTTCAGTCGGTTAGTCATCGCATGCATAGACAGTTCGACATACCTCAGATTCAGCAGATATTCGACACGAATTCACCACAATTATAAAACAAATCACAAACGGGACGAACCCGCCAAGTTTCGGGGCACTCTTCAGCCCACCCATGGTCGAACTGAAAGTACAAAACTTTTGTAATCGTCGCGAACTCAAAATGTCATCGTACTCGATACTCGATCGCCCGAACTCGCGCTGGACCAAAGGAGGCTGTGATACTGTCAGCCGGTGCGCTAGTCTAGTAGGCGAACGACGGCAAACTTTTCAAAAGTGAACACATGGCCAACTTGGCGCGCGATGTTCTTTTCGGTATCTGTGGCGGCGGCGCGGATGGGTCAGCGAAATTGGCGGAATCGCGGCCTACTATTGGTTCAACGGGCTATTAATATGATATCATTTTATTTTATTTTTAATCGGCGAGTCAGTGGCCGATCGCCTGGATGTGGAGGAGTTGAGCCCGTTTCCAGGCGCAATCTTAAGAAAACGTACAGCGCCCACTGTTGTATCTTGTCAATCAGATTTTTTGCTTTGAATTCACACTTTTTTTAAATCAAACTTTTTTTTTGAATTCAGACTTTTTTTTGAATTCAGACTTGTTTCTTTGAATTCAATACAATAACACTTACTCAAATACGGAAAAGGTCATGCATGGAGTACCACAAGGATCGGTACTGGGACCAATATTATTTATTTTATTTTATTCATAAATGACATTATACATCACGTCCAGAATTGTAAGCTGAAACGAACGAAGGAAAATAAAATGAAATTCAATTTTCAGATAAACGGAAAAATCATTGAAGGAGTGAAAATGTTCAAGTATTTGGGAGTGATCATTGATAACCAACTGAATTTCAACAGTCATTGTGAATACATCAAAAAGAAAATTGCTCGAAAAATAGGATTCATGTACAGGCTTGGTGATAGAGTATCTCATTTCACGAAATTAACAATTTACAAGTCAATAATTTCACCTCATATTGATTATTGTGGTACTTTACTGAGTTTCTTGAGTAACGAACTGGTTAATACACTGCAAAAAATCCAAAATCGTGCAATGAGAGCGATCTTGGGTTGTAAAAGACGCACACCAGTCACAACAATGCTAAACACATTGCAATTAATGAATATCAAACAAAGAGTTTCATATAATACACTTATTTCTGTTTATAAATTGAAAAATAACATGTTGCCTTTGTATTTATCGAGTGAGCTAAATTATGTTCAGGATGTACATACATTGTCACAATACCAGAAGACAAGCAGCAAACGATTTCTATATAAATTCAGGAAATATTGCCTGTAATACTTTATATACAAAAGGTTTGGTATTGTTCAATAATTTCCCCTTTGAAATGAAAAGATGTGTGCCACTAGATAGTTTTAAAGAATCGTGTGTGTTATTTGTGGAAGAAAATTATTGATTGATCAATTGAGAATGGAGAAATTTGTAAATTATATACCCTTATCTTAAAATATGTGACGTAGTTCATGTGTCTTGTCTGAGTTATTTATTTTCATGTCTCTATTTATTGAACTGATTGTATTCTATTGCAGATTTAACTGTAATGGAGAGCACTGTGCTAATAAAGTTTGAAATAAGTTTGATATAAATCACTGGATACCAGTCAAACGTATTCGACCAGCCGAGCCAGCACATCCTCTCGTCGTGAACCTCGAAATATGTCGAACAACTCTTCACCAAAACTCATTCGTCTATAGAACGGCAAAGCTTTGGAGATCTTCTGCCAATGGAGACGCTAGTTAGCTATACCAAATACAAATATCTGTGTTTAGTGATGAACTGGAGAAACTTCCAGTACATACCTTCTCTTCCCCATCCCCCCTATAGGTATACGCACGATGATGTTCTTCGACCATTATTGGGATTCCCTTTCGTGCGCTCCAAGAGATGAAAAATAATAATTAGTATCTATATACTCATGAATATTAGTGAAGTAGATACTTTTATCATAACTTCATTAACTACATATTAACACCTAATAAACGATCTCAACAATTCTCACTTCAAATGACTATTCTATACATATAATTTTCCACTCGTGTTCTTGAAACGGCTAATTTTCTTGACATTCACAGGAAATGTGTGAAATTTAGTAGATGTTGATGAAAGGTTCAGGATCATGGTATGACAGCCGCGCTTGATGTGTATCTGCACATACATCAGCTCTCAACAACTATTATAAAATTAATACCACATGCTTGTATACATGGTGGAGACTTCAACTGTAATAAATTCGCTAGCAAGGAGATAAATGATTTTTTTGAAAATACGCGGGACACGTCAACGTTTTATCGTATTCACATTCATCTTTATATATTTTCAGAGCAATATGAAGAATATGACCCCACAGAGACAGCTGAAAACAGCCACAACGAGTTTTTATCAAATGCAGCTCTATATGGCTTGGGACCTCTCAATGGAAAGCTGATTGAAACAGGAATCTAGTGTTCTGATCAAATTTCAGTTCGCAGCCCGTTTGGGGGACGCATAAAATCAGAATATAATTTCAAAGTTTAATATACTTTTATCAACAGTGAAATGATATATTTCCATCAGATTGCAATAACACATTCGATTCGAACTGTGAATAGGTATACAACATGAAAACTAAATTTCTTTACCTTCAAAAACACTGGCATACAATAGCAGATAGCAGAAGTGGTCAAAAATTCTTCAACACACATTTTGAGCAATTGTTACGTTGATAAATCGACTTTTAAAATGACATTTTTATTTCATGCAATCTTCGGACGTACAAAGAACTGGAATTTGACCAGTTCGCTCGATTCCTCTTTTCACCAGCTTTCCAATGAGGGGCCACAAGCATTATATGGTTGGATTTCAAAAAAACATGTTGAGGCAGGTTTCAGCTAACCCTTAAGGGATACATTCTCGATATTGCTTGCAAAATGTAGGTAAATACATTGAAACGTTGAGAGAAATTATTAGAATATTGACCATCCCGCTATTCCTGTTGAAGTTTTCACTCTGTATGTATCTATATACTTTTGCATCAAGCATCGTTCTGTGTCTCGTTTGAGATAAATTACTATAACGTACATACCTCTATAGGCTCTGTACAAGGTGTTTCATTAGGAAAGGTAAATACTTCAACTGTGGATCGGCGTCACTGTGGTGATTTCAGAAAACCCATGTTTGTCTACGACAGATACGGGATGTTTTATCAATTTTGCCCATATCTTTATTGTCTCATAACTTCTCAACCCACCTGTATATTTTTTTGAAAATTGGTACATTTACCCAGTTTATGCTTTAGAATTGATTAAAGAATAATAAAAAGATAGGATCCCAGTCCGGCTCCACATAAAATTCACAAACTCTCTCTGCCTGTAAACAAAAACCTACCTATACATTTAAATTCATCAATGTTTTTGTATATTTGAAAAGAGCACCACAATGTCCATTCAACTATACATCTTTTAGTCGTGCAAAAATGAGCAAAAGTTATATTTTGAGTCCATAAATATGAGTATCAAAAATAATTGTCTGTTCACTCATAAAAAGTACATACTTGAATAGACATTTTGGTGCTCTTTTCAGATATGGCAAAAAAATTGAGGAATTCAATGTATAGGGTGTTGTTGTCGGGCAGAAAGAATTTGTGAATTTCATATGAAGCCGGACCTGGGAGTTATGTGACAATAAAGATATTGGCAAAATTGATTAAATTTCGGTTTTAAGATGTCGATTTTTTCGAAATCACCTCAGTGACCCCTTACCTTTTTCCATTAAACACTCTGTATACGTGAATATATCATGCAGGGTGATTCATCAAGAATGGAAAATCTTCGAACTATACAGATAGTGAACACAAGAATAATTATGCAGATTCAACCTCATGCCTAATAAAAATGGTTTAGGAGAAGATTTCATTTAGAAATTTATCTATATATCTACTTTTCTCATTGAATCATGTTTAGAAAATGTCATCAATCTGAAAGCCCGTTCAATTTAACATAAAAATACTCTCATTTTTCAAATTGTCTAGCACGAACGGTTTTTGCGTTATTCGCTCTTAAAAAGATCTGTGTGTGACTTATCAAATTTTTATTGTTTCAAATTATTGAGTTAGCGAAGTGACATTGTAATCAATAAAAGCAATCCCTAACAAGAACACCAACAGCAAAAAAAATGTCAAAATGAATGTTAGACCAAAGCCCTTGCCTTTGAACACCCTGTATGTTCTGTGCCAGCAACATTTTTACTATAGTCATGTAATGCACATTTCGGTGTTCACTAACTGTAGTTAAGAGATTTTCCATTCTTAATGAATCACCCTGTATGGTAGGCACTGAATTATGGTCTAGAAACGATTTCATGTCTACTGTAATCTGTAGTTGGCTATAGTCATATTATAGTTAATGATACTTACCTACTTGGTCACTGTGCAAAAATATATTCCTGCTATTTATAGCATAATACGTTATCGGGGTCTTATCCATAGCGAAACTATGAGTCTATATGTATACAACTAATAATACTACTATAAACACTATATATAAGGTGAAATTTCAGCGAAACTGCTTGTAACATAATATACAGGGTTATACTTGAAATTCGATACATTCCTTTGGAGATGGTAGGGAGTGAATTCAACCCTTATATGGATTATTCAGAAGTTAATAGTTTGTGAGATATTACATTTTTTCTGTTTATCTCTAAAAGGTAAACTTCAAGGGTTTAAAAGTTAGTTTCCCGAAAATCTGCTGTCCATCTATTCAACCTTTCAACTATAGAATACATGATCAACACTTGGTCTTATGTTTGGAATGAAGAAATTCCAGAAATATTTTAGATCATAGATGAATAAATACGAAGCCGTATTTTTGTTTGTGAATTGTGGATTTCAACACTTTCTAGCAGTTATTTTCAGAAAGATCTATAAGCCACATTTGTCAAAAATTTTTTGAAACTTAAGAGTGCTTGATACGGGTTTATGAATAGTGAAAACGTACTTAAAAAACTTCTATATTATTTTTACAAATCCTGTTCAAATTAAGACCTCTCTTACGAATACATTCTCGTTAGCGTCTTCTTTTTCTGCCTTTGTTATTCTAGTTTCCAAATTATTTTTGTGCAGGGCAGCGTCGGTAATCACTTGTATGAGTTCTTCCAGGGTATTTACTAAAGTTCCATGAACTAGCACTTCCATATGATTCCACACATATAATAATCAAGGGGGATTAGGTCAGG